GGATGCTGCCCAAATAAAGACTGTCCAGGTGTCTACAGTGGATGCTTTTCAGGGAGCAGAGAAAGAAATAATTGTTTTATCTTGTGTAAGGACAAGACAAGTTGGCTTCATAGATTCAGAAAAGAGAGTGAATGTGGCTCTCACTAGAGGAAAAAGACATTTATTGATAGTAGGAAATCTAAACTGTTTAAGAAAGAACAAATTATGGGGAAGTGTTATTCAGCATTGCACAGGTAAAGTAAGATACTTTAAAATATAAATTACTCATGTATTTATTCATTATACTTATAGTCTGCCTGTACTTTGAAATGCAAGAAAAGAGGGAAACCACCCCAATATTATTTTTACAATAGTAATTTGTTGACATAATCTGATTAGCGAGGGAATGGCTGGGCTAAAATTTCCTTGAAGGTTTTTGATCCACCAGAAATTTGACCCAAGCTCTCTGTGCTCAAGGTGATTAACTTTACAACAGTTTACACCATGGCAGACTGGTGGAGGAAGAGGGGATGGTAGTATGGGAGCGGCAGACATTACATGAGCACATGCAACTCCATTTGTGTGAGCGGAGGGCACATGCACCCATCGCTCACATAAATAGAGATGTGCGCATGCACACTTGCCCACCACTTGCGTGGCTCGGGTTGGGGGACCCTGTGTTATACAACTTTAAATTGTCTCTCTTTAAAGTCATCACTATATCAAGCAGATCTCTCACGTACAGAGGCCAGTGTGTTTAAGGTTTAATTGCTAATATATAAATATACTATACTATTATTTATAGGGAGAGAAAATGGATTACAACATGCTAACCAATGTGAGCAACAACTGAATGATATTGTTAAATCTTATTTCAAGAGAAAGATGGAAGAAGAAGCCATCATGAAAAAGAAAAAATCTAAAAATGAATCCGTTTCTCAAAAAACAAACTCATAAATATACTGAATTATATCAATGATTTCATCTTCAAAATCAAAAATTGCAGTTTTTATATTTTTAAGTGCCTCCAGTAATACTGTTACATGCATTAATGGTTTTTAAAAAGTTTAAATATAATAAATAACTTTATAACAAGGTAATTTTTAATGAAAGTTAACTTACTAGGAACTGTACATTTCATGACAATAAACTTCTTCATACACAGCTGTTTTAATTCTTGGACTGCTCTATAAATACCATGTCATTAAATGAACTCCTATTTAAAATATTTCTCATGGATTTTTCAATAGGATATGAATTTATCCATAAATAATGGATAACAGTTTTCACTATCACAATGGATACCTATGGTACTTTCTGCAATCAGTTGTGTAAGATCATTGGGAGGAAAGTCCATACTTGGCTTCTTTTTTTTTCCTCTTACAATTATATCACTTGGTATCACTCTGAGATTCTTTAAACTACTCATTCGAGCTCCCTAACTTCAAGCAGGAATTCAAACTAAGCATGTCTTACAAATTAACTATAGCTAAGTTAGAACACATGCAAAGGATGGGTGCCCACTAATTCTCTAAGTAATTGATTTCACTGTTAACCCTCATTTTCTTTTAGTAAATATTTTCTATAATTTGCCTTCTTGGAACTTAAATTCACTATTTCATGGCTTCACCTTTTATCTAATAACCTGTCACATGTTTCAGTGCAATCATATCTCCTCCTGTTTTCTGAACACTTAATATAACAAGTTCTTTACATTTCTTTACTTCTGACTTAATTTGAAGATCCCTGATAAGGTTTGTTCCAATTGTATAAGTGTACTGCAGCAACAAAACATGGTATTCAAGGTGTATGTCTGAGCAATAAATAAGACCCAATAAAGTATCACTATTATAATTCTTGGCGTTTGTTGATAACTGCTAAGTTATAAATCAAACAAAGGAGGGGAGGGCGTGGGAGGGATGGAAAGTATGCTTTCATTTGAGAAAAAATTCTACACTTGGCTTGGCTTTTCTTTTCATGAATTCTATATTTCAGTCTTAGATGATTTTCTCTTTATGTTAACGTCCTAAATCTCAGGATAGGTATCCCTGCTTATAAAAGAAAAGTATAAATAATTGTTTAGAGTCCATCTAATATTTCAAATCCTATTGATTAATATAAATTGTTAAATACTACATCTATAGTTATTTTGATACATATTAGCGGTATATATTTGTTTGTGTGTCTGCAAATTTTGCAGGATCAAAGTGAATATTGGTATTCATGATATATTTTGGAATACCAATATTCACTTTGATCCTGCAATATCCTGCAAAATTCACTTTATTAAGCATGTCATCTTTGGGATTTTAGGAGGCAATAAAATTAAAGTTATTTTAATCATTCTTAAACTAATGTTAACCTATCTTACACTCCTAAGACATCATGGTAAATTATAATATCCCCATGACTTTGTAATATTTTCTTTTGCTAATGTACATAAAATACAGTTTTATTCATCTTACAAAAGCTAACAACACAAGATGTAGTTGCATGATCAGTTGAATATATATTCTTATTGTTTGTTTGAATTATACTTTAGAAAGTGGATATCAAAATGTATTGAAGTTAATGGTTTTGGATAGAAAGAATTTAATCTTCTAACAGAAATTAACCCTCCATTATTTAGCCAGGGATTATTTTTACTATATCATAATGCTATTCTAATAGTTTAAAATAACACACAATCAGCCTTCTCAAAATATCGTATGGAAAATATTTACAGATTTAAAATACTGCATCTTAGAAATAAACATTTTGGTTTTTGCAGAGTTAAGATTCTAGCTAAAATAAAAATTGTCCGTTAGGTGGTGCCAGTGTACTCTCTGCTTTTCATTTCACAGCATGAAGGTAGCAAGCAAAGGTCATCTATTTTTTTCTTTGAAATAATGACAATATGCATAATCTCACATGAATTAAGATAATTATTCAAATGTGATGCAAAACTCTTACCAATAGACTTTGAAGTTCTCTTCAGCCAAACGAAAATTGCACTCTAAACTTTGAAAGCTATCTACATTTCAAAAGTGAAGGCGAGTTTCACTATCATATTTTGGTTATTTCTTAAAAAGGTTTTAGCTCAAGCTGTCACTAAACCCATTAATACACAAAGTGTGGAAGAAATAGTCAAGAGCTGAATAGCATCTTTTAAATTACTGGTGACACCCCTGTTCCAGCTCCCTAAAATCTCAATCAACAATCCATTAGAACGCAACAGGAGTAAAACTAAATCCTCGTTTAAGTGTATTTATCCAATCTCTTTTCTCTCTTTCAAATGCTAAATCCATTTCAGCATATGCCCCTTCTTTCTCTCGCCTTTCTCTAAAGGCTGGCAGCCTATACTTCTCTTGTAAATATGAAAGATGCTAATCATATGACATATCACGTCTCAGTCGGAGCTTGGAATAAAGCCTTGAGATTTGGGATCATTGCCTCCAGACAACAGCTTCATCAGCCGGAAAGTTGGGGTTTTTTTCTCCTTTCCTTCAACTCTCAATCCCTTCTTTGTCTAAGAAAAAAACGCAGCCAACTCAAGCTACTCTGGCCATATGGTTCACTCTGTATTTTCTTATTTGAATTCTGAATTGTTTCTGTGACTTGCTAAGAGATTTTTTTTCCCCACTGGAAGTGCATATAAAGACATAGTCTTGCTATTTTAAGTTAGGATGCTACTATTGCATGAACTTCCTATTTTGATTAAAATCAACGCACTCTTCATTGATTTTATTTAAACTACTTCCTACACCTGAATGAATTCCATTCTACTGAAGTCTTAAGTATTCTTGGAAATAGAATTTCTTGACTTCCAACATTTGGAAATTGAATGAATTAATGAATAAATAAATGAATAAATAAATAAATACCAAAGTTGGTATTTTGTGCTCTACTTCGAAGCACAGAGTTTATTTTAATAGGGATCTGTCAGATTTCTTTTTCCCCATCTCTCCTACAGATATGTGTTTGTCTATATCTTCTCATTCTCTCGCCCCCCTCCTTCCTCAAGACCCTTTCAACGAATCATTAAATTCTACAGAGGTGGTCAAGCCAGGCCCGCTTTTCATGCATTTGGGAAAAGAAAGGAGTTCTTGAAGTTTAGAAGATACCCAAGGAAAACTCCTTGAATGACATCAAAAGAATGGGTTTCCATAGCTGTTGAAGCACGAGAGCCATGTAAGCTGCACAAAGGCGGGTTGGGGCAGTGGGACTGTCCCGCTGCTCTATCCCAGCACAATTGGGTCACTGAAATAGGGAATTAATTACCATTGGAGAGTGGGCAACCCATTCACCACTGCCTGAGTTTTATTAAACGCCAATATAAATAACAAAACAACTCTTGTGGCTGCACTATTCCGACACGCCAAAGGAAGGATTAGCTTGGGGATTAACATCTTAAAGTCTATGAGACTTTCTGACTCAAGGCTCAGAGCTGGTAATCGTATTTGTCTCCTGGTTCAGCGATTAGTGCTCCCTTACTCCAACCTTCGCCTGCTACCCAGTGTCCCTTTTTGCAGGCTTCCCTTTTTGGGTGTCCATTCCATCTCTGCTCACAATCGGCTGTTCTTTTAGCCAGGGACAGTGGGGGGAGAGAGAAGAAAGAGGGAAAGAAAGAAGAATTGCATCTCAACCATGCAATCTTCAAGTTTCTGGGAAAATGGAGGAGAAGAGCTTATGGGCTCCGGGCTGGGGTGGAGAGAGAGTCTGCAGCACTAAAAGAGGAGGGAGGGAGGGTGGGCGGGAGGGAGGGAGGGAGGAACAGCCTGAAGTTTAAAAATCACTGTTGAAGCCTGCACCTGCCATGCAAATGGGGCAGACAAAACAATCAGAGCACCCTCACAAAGAGGGAGAGTTGGAGAGAAAGAATAATTACAAGCAAGGGATGCCTCCAGGCTACATGGGTATAGGCATCTTCTGATGAGACCCCTAAAGGGCGCACATCTGTCAAACCAAAGGAAGTACAGGGAAATTGTTGTGCCCTTTGGAGCCCCATATAAACAAGATCAATTTCTCCACCCAGTGTTATTGCACTACTTTCTTCAGAGTTTCTGAGTGCCAAGTCTTAACAATAACAATAAATAATATACCATTACAAATTCAAGTTTACAATTAAAGTGAGTTAAGAATAGTTATGGTGAAAGGTATCTTATGAAAGTTAAAAAAAACAACTTTTATTTGCTTCTTTCTAGCCTTTTTCACTAAGCCTGAAAGGATGAAGAAAGGTGGAGGGGAGAGACTGATAATTAAAAATCTCTCAACTTTCTTTCTTTAACTAGATTAAACTTGCATTGCATCAAGCACAATGCCATGTAAGACAGAGCCACTTGGTGCAATGCAAACAGCTGAGGCACATCTGTAAACTTCTTGAGGGTCCTAAGGGCTTAGGCTACAGTTTTTGTGACAGTAATTCACACTTCTGAATCATTCTCATTAGCACCAAGCAAATTAACCTTATCTTGCATTTTTTAAAATAGTTCTCATTTAATTTGACGACATTTTTTTCCTCAACCTTTTTTTTTTTTTTAGAAATTATCATGGGTGAAGTATGATGTTCTTAACAAGTATCTAGTTAGCAGTGCTCAAGGGATAGGTGTCAACATTTTAGTTTTCATGGTATACTATTCCCTCTACTGACCTGCAGTTATGCAAATTCCCCAAATTTTAATCCCAGTCAAAGGGAAAAATTCAGAGAGAATGCCATGGGCTCCTTGACATGGCAGTTCAATTTTCTGTGGCAGTTTAATTTTCTGCATGGCAGTTTATGAATCGGAACTTTGTGAAATTGCTGCAAAATGTAAATCTTCCACTGGACAAATGTAACTACTTTAAATCTAATTTAACTTCATTTTAATTAATTAGAGAGTGAGCAGATTGGAATTCACACTATAAACTACAATCAAAGAAACTGTGTCATAGTATATGATCTGGGAATCAACCTCTTGACTCAGGCACTCTAAGTAAAA